TCCTGCTGCAGATCTTTGCTAACAATTCTGCTTTCATCCTTACCTGACCACCAGCCAAAAAGGAAGGACGATCATGGAGAAAGGGAGCAAAGGAGGATTCTTTTGCCTGTGAGTGCCACCTACTGACTGCTGAAAGGGTCCCAAAGGTCCCTCCACCAACAAAATTCCTAGGAGAAACTCTGTCCCTGCAGGCCCTGGCTTGGGGGGGCCTCAGGGAAGGCTGCCAGCCATTTGCTGCCCACAAGAGGAGCAGGATTAGGCCCACACCATCCACATGGAGCAAGGGAGAGAGGGAAAAGATCCCAAATCAGATGCAAAACTGGCTGCAGGAGATCCAAGCAGCCACTGACCACATCCTGTTTATGATTACTCCCAAGCCCAGCTCGGAGTCGTTACCTCGCATACATCAGCGGGGCAGCAGGACCAAAAGCAGCTCATTAAAGCAGAGCCAGTCATTAAAGTGGTCTGAGAGCAGAGCAGAAAAGGTGAGAAAGGGTCAGCAACTTCACAAAGAATCTGGGGCATTTGGGAATCCTGACAAAACCGGAGAGAGAAGGTCTGTCTGGCCAGCCCTGACCACTCGAGACACAAGGTACATGGGGGAGGAAAAACAACTTTCACAGACAAAAGTAGTAAATTAAGTTCAAAGTAGAAGAACTATCTGAGGAGTCCTGAAGGCCCACCCATGATCAGAACTGCCACCAAAAAAACACTGGTAAGCAACCAAAATGTGTTTTGTAGGTGCTAGAGGGACTGTGGGGAAGGTGAGAGCTAATATGGTATTAATCCCCCCGCCCTGTGAAGCTCTTTTTCCCAGGAATTCAACAAATCAGCTTCCCTTTCAAGTTACTGTCCTTTCTGATCCCAAACTGGATGATTTTCACCCACCAAGCACGAAGAGGAACTTCTCTTTCAAAATGTAGGAACAGGGCAAAGGAAAAACAAGATGAATGCACAAAAAAATTTAACAAGGCATCAGGACTGTGATGTTCCCAGAAGCTGAAGGGGAAGTCCCAGCACTCCAGGAGTTGTAAGAAGGCCTAAGGAAACAGCAGAAGCCAGGGAAGCTGCAGGCACTGGCAAGGGAATGGATTGGATCAGCCAGTAGATATTTCCTGCTCTAACTTTTAAGAGTCTGCAGAAATGACTGAGAAACAAACTGGTTTGATGGAGAACGTGTCATCACTTCCCAACAGTAACAGGCTCATGGTTGTGTTAGTCCCCAGAAATATAAATTCAGAGTCACAGGGAAGCTCTTTCAGCCTGAAAGGTTTCACCAGGTCCTACAGAAGCTGCTCCATCCCAAGCCAGTTCCCCAGAAACCCCAAACCCACTCTGGAGCCCACAGCTTGGTGGGAGAGCTTGGGGAAAGGCAACCTAAAGGAGCTGGTTGTATCCTGCTCTACCAGCACTTATCACAGGACTTATCTATAATTTCTTTTGTACCCAATATTAAAAGCTTTTGTGACTAACTTTTCATTACTGAGTTAAAAATCAATACCAGAGTCCTCACAATACCCAACACAGGCAGAAGACCTGCAAGTCATCAAGCAGCACTGCTCCCTCCAACAGATCTTGATGTCTTGCCTTTCATCCCCACGTATTAATACAGCTTTTAATTTAACAGGGAGAAACATGACACGGTCTGAGGCAGCTCCAAACAGCAGCAAAGATTAAACAGGAAAAACCTGATATCCTCTCCTGAGAGGAAGTGCATTTGTTGGGGTGGAGGCAGGGGGAGTGATAGGATTTTGCTAACCACAGGCTCTGCAGGAGGACACACCACCTCCTTCCTCAGGTGTAGAGAGCAGAAACACAGACACCACCTCAACCCAAGGAGGACCTCTCAGACCATACATACCTGCGACCTGTTCCTGGGGCACACTAACTAAGTCAGCATTTTTTATTACTTCACAGTCCTGCTTCTCCTCTTTGCACTTCTCTTCGTTCTTCTTCTCCTTCCTCTCCTTCTCCTTGTCTTTGTGCTTTTTGGATTTTTTCTTGCTTTTGACGTACGAGCTGCAGTTGTGCTTGCTCGGCTGGGGACAGTCTGTTGGCAAAGGGTGGGTCAGTCTGTCAGCTGGCTCCGGGTTCTCACAGTCTCTGCCGTTGTGAGTCAGGTCGTTGCTGACATCTGAGAGGGGATCGTGAGGCCTGGGCAGCTCCAGCACCACTGGGAGGCTGGAAGTGGAGGTCACCGACTCCTGCGGCGCCGGTGGCAGGGCAGGGATGGGAGCAGGGATGTCCTTCCCGTTGGAAGAATTCAGTTTCCCATTGAACGTGGGCTGAGTTCTGTGAGCCAAGTGTGAGATCCTGGGCTTTTTGTTGGCCAGGGGATCAATGAACTCCAGAGGCTGGGATCGTTTCTGGGGAGGAAAAAGGAGAAAATCATCTTGAAGCGTCGAGGACCGGATGCTGTTACCACTAGGTGGTGGTGCAAGACCAGGCAACAAGATCCCCAGAAAAGGAGCTGCCAGCAAGTGTCCCAGCTCAGAGGCTGGTCCTGGACACAGGCTCCAGGACCACCAGGTCCTTCAAAAGCTGATCCATCCCAAATCAGTCCCCCACAATCTCAACAGCTGCTCTGGAGCCCATGGCTTGGTGGGAGAGCTTGGAGAAACCCACCATCACATCAGCAATGACTGATCTCCCACACCCTCCATGTACAACCCAGCCTGCTCTCCTTGCATCCTCTTTCAAATCCAGTCCTTTAGAAGTAGTTCCTCTCCTTCACCCTCTCCGTCCCAGCAGAGAACAGACACAACCATGAAAACATCTGTCCTGGTCTGACAGGACATTTGGGGCACCTCAAAGTCCCTGTGAAGGACAAATGTGCTCAGATCTCTGGAGCAGGGAGGGACTCACAAGTTCTGCATTTTATTCCCAACTGGTTTTACCAACTCTGTAGCCACCAGCTTCACCCTCACAACACCACTCCTTCCTCTTCTCAAGAAAGAGGCATTTCCCAGAAGAGATGAGAAGAGGTGTCAACTGTTCTCAGAATTTCAGGCAAAAGAGGACACTTGTAGCAGCTGTAAAAGCCACATCACATGGGCCAACACGACCTGAATAGCCTTTTATTGAATCACAGAATCATTCTAGTTGGAAAAGACCTTTAAGATCATCGAGTCTGACCATAACCCAACCCCACCATAACTTAAATAAGAAGTATAGGGAGAGAAGTGGTTCCCAACTGTCCCCATCAGCCTCATCTGGACAGTCACAGGCAGGGCTTGTAGAAGCTCTGTCTGCCTGCAGACTGGGGCTTAGCTGGGGAGCTGCACCGTGGAGGAACCCATGGGTCAGTCAGCAGAGCCCAAAGCAGAGTCAGGCCAACACTGCCAGGCTCAGGCCACCCTGAGCCAGCCAAAGTTCCCTTGGAGAGCCAGCAGTGTGTGCCTGCCTGGCAGCACAGGGCTGCAGAAACTCTGAGAGAAGATTATTTAGTGCCCAGAGGAAAACAAGCCATGGTTCTGGGTATTTCTTTTGGATATTTGACTGTTTTCTTTCTGTCTCAGGCAGGACATGTGTTTGCACATGGAAAGTTTGCTCCCTGGCAGCAGCACGGCTGGATGCTGGATGCTCTGACAGGGTGCCCCTAAGTCCCTCCTTTTCCCCCACTTACTGTTTCTCCTTGCTGACTCTGGGGTCTCAAGGCCACTGCTCAGCAGCAGGACTCCTTTCCACCCATCAAGGCAACTCCAAGAGGAGCTGCTGGCAGTGCCAGGGCTCCAGGGACCAGGCTGGCACGTCCGACCGGCTGCGCAACATCCGGGCCCGTGGAGCAGTGTCCATGTCCCCAAGGGAGGGGCCGTTACCTTTGACTGCAGCTCTCAAAGAGGTGACAGCTCTAAGAACTGCCTCCTTTTACTGTCCCTTCTCCAAAGCCAACAACCAGCAGCTCCAACCTCACCTCCTGGGTGGTGAGGAGGCACCCGCACGCGATCCCCGCCCTGCCACCGCTCCTCAGACCCACCTTGTTCTTCACCTTCATTCCACAACCCAACTTTCCCAAAATATTCTGCATTCCAGACTACCAAATCCCAGGCCCCTGCTGGGACTGCAACCATTAGCAGGCATCCCTTCTCTAAATAGAAACTACAGCCATAGAGGATCAAAAAATATGACTGCTTAAAATAAAAGGCTGCCTGTGGTTTGCTGTCTGACACAGGCCACGTTAGAAGCACTGCTGGAAAAATATTTCCTGTTCAGCTGCCCCTGTTTCATCTGTCTTTTCCAGACCCAAACCAACCAACCAGCCTAAGTTTCCAGAGGGTCATCTCAAGAGACCAGAAACATCCCCCTTCAGACCTTTGTGTCTTTCAAAACAGCCTGAGAGGTGATTTTCCCAACCTACATTTTTGCAGAATCAGGTGAAGAACAACACAAGAGCAGCCTCTTCACAGCATCAGGCCTTTCTGAGCTACCTCGAAGGAGATCTCTGGTTATTCACCACCAACATGCCCACAGCAGAGGGTTTGGAATTAGCTACCTGGCAAACAAGTTGCACAGTTCTTGTTCTCAATAAAGAACTGCCTCCCTCTCACTGCCAGAAAGCACATAATTTCTTTACCTGTTAATATTCTTTGCCACTAATCCCCAGCGTGTCTGTCCAGACAAGTAGGCATTACACATTCCATTGGCAGGAGAAGAATAAATACTCAACTTGTCTGGGCTGACCCACAGCAGAGAAGGGAGCTGGCATTTCACAACCCTAGCAAGAAAGGTTTGTGCTGAGATCCTGAGGAGAGCAGGGACAGGCTCTGCTCAACACGCACGCAAAGGCAGCTCCTTCGCAGTTCATTAGCATGGAAGAACAGCCCAGATGCACCTCTCCCAGCTCCATGTACCAGAGGCTCCACAAAGCCAAGAGCAGACCAACCTGCCCCTGATCTGTCACAGCAATTAGGTTGCAAAAGGTCAGTGTTTTTTTTTTAATAACTCCACTGTGTTTGGGAGCTACTTATTACTGCGTCGTTCCAGTCAATTATTAGTAATGAGTAAAACGCAAGATCCTTCTGCCAGGAGCTCCAAGAGGGAGGTAGGAACTAGGAAAAGAATTCAGCCCTTAAAACTAAACCTAAGCCATGTTGTCAGAGCTCCTCCCCATAGGCTGTCACTGAACCACATCCAGAGGAAAAACAGATGCTGAGGAAACCCAGAATTAGACTCTGAACTTAATAAAAGAGAAAAAAACCCACCAACAACCCCAACAACCTCTTGACCTCCCAGGCTCCAGCAGCAGGTGATCACAGCTCAGCCTGCAGCCTAGAACCAGCACCCAACTCCATCCAGAGCCCACAGAGCCAGTTCCTGGTCCTGTTCTGGCCAAGCCCAGCGCCCCTAGAGAAGGATCACCCACCTGAGGAGGAGAGCTGGAGTTCACGTTGTCTTTTGGTGGGCTCAGGGAAGGTGCTTCTCCTTGCAAACCGCTGTTCTGGGTCTGAGAGAGTTTCCTGAAAAACACAATTTTGGGCTGTTTAAATCCTGGGCTTGACAAGCCAACAGATGGTATTTCAAATCTTCCTGCAGAGCAAAGTGCCTTTCTTGTGGGCTCAAATTCTGCTTGGTGAAGATGCCATGGAAATAGCTAATTCAGGCAGATAGAGCTTCCATCTCGGACAAGATCTAGGAAGAAACTACCACAGGAAAATACCAACCAACACCAGATGGTGATTGCTTGTCTCCTCCTTGCATTCTCAGGGTTTTTGTAACTCTGTGTGAATGGACGTAACACCTTGGACTGGCACTGCTGGAGCTGTGGCAGGGAGGGAGGAGGCAGGTTGAGCTATCAGACACACCAGAGGATTCCCTGCCCAGGATGGAACACATTTCCTGACAGTTTTACCTCTTTTCTCTTGAGCTGGTGACACAGGCTGTACAAGAAACTTAGAAAAATGGTCCAGATATAGTTTAATAAAAACTGGCATTGAACTTCAAAGTGTAAAGGATGAATTTAAAGTGTAAAGGACAGGCTGAGAGAGTTGGGGTGTTCAGCCTGGAGAAGAGAAGGCTTCAGGGAGACCTTAGAGCAGCTTCCAGTGCTTGAAGGGGCTCCAGGAAAGCTGGGGAGGGACTTGGGACAAGGGCAGGGAGGGAGAGGACAAGGGGGGATGGATGAAAACTGGGAGAGGGAGATTGAGGTGAGACATGAGGAGGGAATTGTGGAGTGTGAGGGTGGTGAGAGCCTGGCCCAGGTTGCCCAGGGAAGCTGTGGCTGCCCCATCCCTGGCAGTGTTGAAGGGCAGGTTGGATGGGGCTTGGAGCAACCTGGGCTGGTGGGAGGTGTCCCTGCCCATGCAGGGGTTGGATCTAGATTATTTTTAAGGTCCTTCTAACACAAATCATTCCACGATTCTATGATTCTTCAGATGCTGCTTTGTTTTGTTTTATTTAGAACAATCTCAACAGCCACAGATCAACTCCAGAGAAGCACTTGGAGACTGGAAGCAGGAAGGGGAACACTGATACTCCACAACCAGTGCAGTGAAAGTGGCTTTCTGGATGCTGTCTGACTAGACTGAGCAACCCTGTCACATCTCCTGACATGCTAATTATGGATTTAAAGAAAGTGAATGAAACTGCTCTTGATTCAGCCGCTCTGGTAACAAGTGGAAAAACATGCACTGGAGGGAGAAGGGAGTGACACAATCCAGCTCCTTCTTCCTCACGTTGCTTAACATGGGCACTGTTGGACACAGCTTGGATATCTGCAGATGTGCTAATTATTGCAGTTGATGAACCATCCAGGGGCAACTGGACCTGAAAACTGAGGACGTGGAACAATTGGCTGGATCCAGGCAACCACAGCCAACGTAAACCCTACGTCTGCTGCCTCTGCCCTTTTGCTGGGTAGTTTTTCTACTCTCTTCAACCCCTACATGTTTGGGTTGTTTTTTCTTTTTATCTCCCCCATTTTGTAGCCTCGTTACCTGCACTGGCTGAGCAGGTCTTTGTTTGTGCAGCTGAATGCATCCTTTCCAAGGTCTATTTTTAGACCTTCACATCACTGAATTGCCACAATTCTAGAAAAAGCAGTAAACATGGTTTCTACAGGGAAAAATTCCCTTTATTTTTTAAAAGCCATGAAGGCTGCATGGCAGTTGTATTTTTCCATTCAATTATAATTCAGCATCAAGGCCATTTAAAGGAGTGTTGATTTTTTTTCTTTAGCAGGCCAAAGCACTCTAAAAGTGCAAGTTTCTGTTGGTTTAACCACATCTTCTCTCCAAGCCAACTGGGCTTTCAAATCATGGGAACTGCTCAACCAGAGCATGTTCTGCTTGATCTTAACCAAGAGAATAAACCCCAAAAAACAAGTCAAGCAAAATCTCTATCTTGTTACAAAATCTGTACCAAGTCAGCATGAATACTCTGCAAACCCAGAGAGGGAAATATAAACACTCAGAGCAGGTTTCTCCTTTAGGAACCTGGGAGATGTTTTATTTCCCTGCTGCCTGCCAGCCAAAAGCTTCCAAGCTTGGAGGCTTCACCTAAGGAAAAATGTCTGTAGAGGAAAAAAATAGTATCTTCTGCAACTGAGGAGAGAAAATCACCTCAACTAACTGTTTAAGGCTATTTTCAGGCAAGAACACGAAAACTGGACAGTGAGGATTGCACTGTGTGGACAACCAGCACATATTTTAGGGGACTTATCTCTTCAGAACTCACTTCTTTTTCACCCATCCTTTTCTTCAATCAATTCATTTCAATCTTCTACTTAAATCTTGCAGGGCAACTGTATCACCACCAGAATTTCCAACACCAGAAAAGCAGAGTCAACAAACACCCAAATAATGCTGCGGAAATTTAGCAGCCAAGTCTCTGGAGCAACAGCTCAAGAGAAACATCCAGAGGGACAGGGCTCAGAGAGGCTGGGCATGTGTCTACAAGGAAACATCTCTCCTTGCCTTCAGACACAGCAGCCTGCATGGGAAGCCATGGAGGAATAGATATGGGAAAAGGGAAAGGAGAGTTTCCATGGAGAGCTGAGCTGGACACAATTCCCTTCATCCATTCATCTCCCAGGATTTTAAACCACCATTCACTTTTTAACTAACTTTTGCTCCCCATCCAGCTTTGCCCCCCTAGCTTTTAGGATAATTATATTAAGAAATTCTTTGCTGTGAGGGTGGTGAGAGCCTGGCCCAGGTTGCCCAGGGAAGCTGTGGCTGCCCCATCCCTGGCAGTGTTGAAGGGCAGGTTGGATGGGGCTTGGAGCAACCTGGAATGGTGGGAGGTGTCCCTGCCCATGCAGGGGGGTTGGAACTTGGATCTTTAAGGTCCCTTCCAGCCCAAACCATCCCATGATACTCTAATGATTTGAAGGCAACTTAGGAGGATCTGCCTCCACTCTGATACTCAAGTTTAGTCAGCTTTTTTCTGTTAAAAGAAACCAAACACTCAGCTTACCATAGTTCTACTGACTTTGGTTACCCTGATTTATAGCAACTGACCTGGCCCAGTATTTCCAAGCTCCAGATGATATTAGAGAAGATGGAATAATTAATTACCGAACAAGTATCCTCTTCAGCAACTGCTGGTCTCCTTCTGAGTAGCCAGGCCAGTCCTTCTGCACTTCTTTGTATACACAATCTTTCAGTGTGAAAGTGCTGTCCTTGGCACTCAAATTTGCCACCTGAAAGAAAAATAATTTGCAAGACACTGTTAGGATTTAATCTTCTCACTCGTCCTAACAAAAGAGATCAAAGATGCAGGCAAGAATCTCAGCAGACCTAGTGGCAGAGAACAAAGAGAGGATCTATACCTAATTTCCTCATTATTTAGCTGTTTAATCAATCTGTGCCTTTCCTTTGGCCTTCTCATGGCAAGAGTTTATTGTCAGTTCCCAAGGCACATCCAGTTTACTGGGGAATGAGTCCTGAACAGACTGCTCAGCTTGGATAGCCTGGAATGGTGCTTATGGAAATTCCTGGAAATAAACCCTAATGGGAACAGGCAGTTCACTTATCACACCTGTCTGATAGCTGCAACCTGCCTTTATGAGCTGCTGGAGATGTTCCTGGGGCCATAGATTGGTTAACAATTGCCAGGAGATAAGTTCTCACTAATAAGCCAGTAAAAGAGGGGACAGAGAGCTCCTTTTTCAAGGAGCTGTGAGGAGAACACCTTGGTTGATACATCAGGAGCTCACAGGTCCTGCTCCACAGCTCAATGCACTACAATAATCTGCTGGATTTTGTGGAGAATTTTTCCTAGGACTGCTCCAGGGCAGGAACCAAACCTGTGGTTACCAGCTTATAACCCAGGGTTTTACAACACAACATCACACCCAGATCAGGTGCTGAGGTTCCCCTGGGACACCTGCATCAGCAGCTTCCTGGCATTTTGTACAATTCTGTCCTGTGTGGCTTCCCCACAAAACTCTGCATGGTGCCTGCATGGATAGGAAACACTTCTGGGACCAGCAGAATTGTAGCAGAATGGAAACAACTTGCTAAGAGTTCTCCTGCTGCACTCAGGCTTTCCACAGCTGGCCTGAACATTTCACTTCTTGCTGCTGGTTACACATCTGAAAAACACAACATCAGCACAAACCAAATGGCCCCAGTTAAGCTTTCACAGATACTTAGTGAACTTTCTTAAGTGATGGTAGAGCCCTGTGAGTTTAGAAAGAAAATAAAGCCTCAAATGTGTTTCATAAAAGGGACATGGGGATGGCAAGTGCTGTGCCCACAGCCAGGCTGACCAACTGGCTAAGCCAGGAGCATGTCCCACAGTCACTGCTTCAGCCCCCCAGTCTGGAGACTGTTTTGCACTTGAAACTGGAAGATGTTTTAGTCAGTCAGTGGAAATACTGTGCATCTGCTTAAGGATTAGTGTTCTCCATCACTCCCTCCTCCAGGAGGTGGCTGTGCTCACCAGCTCCCATTACCCACACAGCAGCAAGAGCCTCAGAAAAGCAAGTAGAAGGAATGGAAAGGCTTGAATTAACTGAAGGTGCTGTTAATTCCTCTGCTTTTGCTTTAGGGAGACCATGACTGAGAAGCACAAATCTATGAATTCAGAAGCAAAAAAGCTGCAGCACTACCACAGCAAAGCTCTCCTGATAAGCAAAAAATGAAAAGCAGAGTTATCAGTTTACATGACAAACACTTTGTTTTTCCTTTCAGTTCTGTCAGCTTTCCAAAACCCTGAGCCAAAATACAAGAAGAATTTGAGCTGTGTTTTACATTTAGATATCCCAGTAAACATGCCCAAGAGACAAAAGCAAAGCCAGGTTCTCTTTCAAAAAAAAAAAAAAAGTACCAAACCTCCCTGGGAATCTCTCTGGTTACTGCCTATTCCTATGGTGGAGGACACTGCTCAGCAAGGCTTGGAGCCCAGGCAGAACAACATCTCAGGATTTACTCTGCACAGAGGCTGAGAGCTGCTACCTCCTTGTTTTGCTGGTGTGGGACTCCACAAGCTCCACCCCAGGCCTCCCAAAAATAGAAACCTTGCAAAATGAGGCAAAAAGGCCAGCAGGAACACAGAGTCCTAAGAAGAGATGCAAGAGCACAATGAACCCCACACCTCGACGTATTTAGACGTGTAGCTTTAATGCAGCCTGTAATTTTTAGCTTATCTGTGTCTGCTGGTGGATGGGAGCCCTGGTAGTGCTGAAAGGAGATTAAGTTTTACAAGCAATACATTTACAGCCAAATCAGCATTTAGCCCCATCAGGCTGACACTGTGGTCAGTGCCAAACAGGAGAACATGGATAAAAGGTGGTGATCAGAGTCATTTCTAGTATAAAACATATTTCTATCATCCAAAGGATTCCAGCACTGCTGGAAAATTAAGGGCTACAGGATTAAAATCTAGGGAAGGAGCAAGTTGTGCCAGTAAGAACTCTATTTTCAGTATGACCTGCCCTGTGCCCTTGGGCAAACTAACTCCTCACTGCCTCACACTCCTCTGCTACACAAAGGAGGGAAAAACCCAATTTCCAGCACAGGACAGGGCAGCTGCTGCATTTAAATAAATACCCCTGGTGTGTTCTGCATTGAGAGACCAATAAAGATATTTACTGCAATTCCTAAAATGGCACCTTTGACAGGACTGAAAGTGTTAAGAACTGATTCACCTTGGAGGGAGCTTTCACACTTGACACACCAGTAATAAGCTTTGCAAGGAGCTGCATGATCCTCACACCTCACCAGTTGCACTGCTTAGCAGGAAGGGATGGGCCTGGGCAATGGGAAGATGTAAAGCTTAGGGGAGAGAGGGGCATGTTTTTTCCTTCACGTAGGAAACACGACATGTATCAACACCTAATGTGTTGCTTTACATCCATTTATTGAAAATATAGAGATTTATAGGTTATAGCAAAACAAACAGCTTGTAGATCTCTGTTAGATGATCCTCCCTGTGGCCAACCACAAGTGTTCATCTTAAGCGACTGATCTGGTGAACCAGAGTCATTCACCTTAGTTGCAAACACCTAAACCAGGTCATAAACACACATGAGGCTCCTACCATCTCTAGCAATCCAGTAACTACAAACTGCTTTTGGACATAGCCTTCAGAGAAACATCCAGCTGCAGCTTGGAGAGACACAGGTTAGGTTCAGAAGGCACCACCCTTCCAAGGAGACACTTCCCTTTACCTCATCGTTGCCTCCATCAAGAGTACAAACCTGTTGCAGAAGGTTGTCCAGCAAATCCTTGTCCTGCTGAGAAAGTCCATCCTTCTGCAATCTGAGAATAAGTTCAGGTTTCTTATAAGGCTTTAGTGCCAGTAAGTGCACAACCCTATCCTTGAAGGGTCTCTGAGAAATGGCACTATTGCCTCTCTTTATTGCACTGGCAAGGTTGACTGGCGTTGGGCGCTTCCTGGAGGGAACAGCATCGGAAGCTCCTGGTGCAGGTTTACGCACCTGAACCTTTTTGCCTAAAATGAGATGAGAACAGTGAACTGCAGCAGTCCCCTTGCAAAGGCCAGTGGTCTGTCACCATCTACACGGAGCTCGTTACACCCCCTGAAGTGCCAGAAGATGACAGTGAAGGACAGACACAACCAGCACAGCCCATCCGTTCTGAGGCGCTGCCGCAACCACCGGCCCCTGAGTTTTATGATTCCTGACAAGCTTGTAACAAGTGAACAGCAACACCAAGCTCTGGAAACCTGAGCATTACTGGCCACAAGCTTACATAAAGCTCTCTTTGTTTGCCAGCTTTTCATTTATCCCAAGTGCACGTATCCCCACAGCTCATCTAACCATTTTTTTCCCCTCCCTATGAGAAGAAAATTCTGCATTATTATGTAGAGGAGTCGAAATATGGAGGGGAAAGACCAGAACTGGTCAACGAGTGGCTCCCTGCTGCTGAGCTCAGCAAAAACAGCTACTCCAGCAGATGTTTCTGCTTTCAGAACAATAGGAACTTTATGGGGCTGGGTCCACCTCCCTTCCCCCCACCAAACACAGCCCCATGAATGGGGTCTCACACTGATACATCAGCCTATTCATTAGTGGGCTGTCTAATGGGATAAGGCCTCCTACACTGCAGTGACAGTGACTGCTTCACCCTCTGATGGCACTGATGCGTGTGTGAGAACATGGAGCTGTCTCTGAAGTTCATCTTGGGCTCCTGGAGGCAGCTTCCTCACCTCTATCCCAGAAGTGTTTCTTGGTTTCTGACAGCATTAGACAAGAATTCATTTTTCCCATTCCTGTTGAAAATCAGCTCTAACTACAACCCTCAGGCAACCCCCCCCATTACTACTAAAGTGCAAATCAAGTAATTTCACTATTTTTTAATCCAGACACAGGTCACCAAGGCAGGTTCCTGCTACCAAAGACAAAACCAGCCAATTGAAAAAGCAAATGTGTAGGTTCCAAGGTCTAAAACACAGAGATACAATCAATAACACCAAGCAAGTGACCTTCACTGGGACAAGAAACATCCAGCATTTACTGTAAGAATTCTGGAGGTTTATGTCAGCATGGCAATTCTCCACTGCTAGGAAGCAGTGTTTTCAACTGACTCATCTGAAGATACTGGTGATTGTCTGCAGTGTTTGCTTTACTGAAATGTAGATTGCATAACTGAGCCCGTTTCCTGGCTCTTTATTACGCACCACGCTGATGCAAGGCAAGTACAACCCAACATTGGCAGGCCTGAGTGAAGATGAGAGGGAGGAAAACAAACTATTCACATGTTAAACATCCCCCAATTCAGAGGTCAACTGGACTTCATTTCCAGAACTGGGACAAGAAAAGATTTGTCAGCTTTCTAGAACTCCCTTAACTCCTGCCAGGTCATGAACAGCAGAAACACATGGGGACGTTCCCACTGCAGGCTGGAGCCAAAATGTGCA